AAGGGAAAGTGAGTGAGGGGTGGGGTGGGAGGTGAGGAGGAGGGAGAGGTTATGAAGAAGGGGGAAAGTGATTCCGGGAGGGAAGGGGGATACAGATAAGCGGAAAAGTGAGTTCGGGGAGATTTATAGATTTTTCTGATTTTTTTGGGGGGTGGGGGGAGATATAGAGAAACGGGAAGGTGAGTCCAGGGGGTGGGGTGAAAAGTGCCATTGTTGTATTAATCGTATTGAATGTTTTACTGAGGAGAAGGGAGAGGGGGTGGTTGTTGTTGTACAGACAGTCAGACAGACGGATAGACGAATAGATCTATAATATAGATCCCAGCAGAAAGACGGAGATACTGGATAAAAGTCTTCCCTACTCGGGAATCGAACTTCCACAGTCTACGTCCAACAGCAAAGCTCATAACTGCTACAGCACAATTGCTGGTTCGACATCGCTTCTCACAGGACGTAAACAATGAAGATCTCAATATTCTGGGGAGTTTTCGTAGCAAGCGAATTAGGGCACTTTCACAACAATTAGGTCATATATGTGCTGACGATTAGAGGTGTTACTAGAAAGTAACACAAAGAAAAGAAGTAGACATAAGAACGATAGACGTTTGATAGGAGAGAAGAACCAAACAACACCAGAGCCCCCGCCAATCACCCAACCATCTTCTTTACACGCATTTTCGTATTTTCAGCCATCGCGTCAAGAAAAAAAAACATTGTTTCAATGAAAAAAAATACTTTCGGAGCATTCTGGTGCCCAATAGGCTGTTCCAGTCTTATCTAGCCTCAAGAGTAACTGATTAATAAATATTATATGCTTGCAAAAAAAAAAAAGCGAAGGGCTGAAAATCGAACATGGCTCAGATACTTACAAGAGTCCAGGAGATTCTTGATGAGGATGTTACTTGTGTTTTTACTTCGAACGCTTCCCGCTTCCAGAAAGGCAAAGCCACATTGCATTACTGAAACAGAGGGGAGAACGTTACATTACTGGCCCAGGAAAAAAAGCATTGCATTAAAATGAATCAGAAAATTAAAGCATTGCATTATAAGCATATTAGGATGGAGATTTGGGGGGGGGGGTGGTATTACATTACTAGAACGGGGGAAGGTGAACATTTAGTGAAACAGAGGAGAAAAGCATTGCTCTACTTGAACGGGAGAAAACATTGCATTACTGGCTCAGAAGGGGGAAATATTGTATTACTGAAAAGGGGGGAAACATTGTGTTTCTGGAATACAGGGGAAAACATCGCATTAACAGAATAGAAGTAGGTACTCGAGCTCATACTCCCCCCCCCTCTCTCTCCCT